TGTGTGAGTTCTTCAGTGGGTTATATCATGCCTAGTCCTACGATGATGCATCATACACCTACCCCTAAGAAGACCACGAATGCACAGAGTTAATGTCTTTTTTAAAAAAAAATAGATACACCACAGAGTATATATATAAAATGGGAAAACAACAAAGATTTTTTTCATTTCTGATCTGACTGAGGACAGAGCACAACATGGAATTTTTAAGCTCCGAGTATCGTTGGAAAATGCAAGAGCCTACAGGTTCCACTAAAAAAGGAGAATGGATGAAAAACAAAGAGGAATGCATCCAAGATTTCATGGATAAGAATCCGGGAGAAACAGGACTCAATGATGTGTACCTGTATAAGAGATTCAAATTACCGGACCATGAATGTGCACCACTCATAGTATTATTATTAGGGTCATGGCGACCCCAGTATCAGGAATTCAAATGGAAAGTCAAATACGTTTTGGCTCACAAAACAGAGGCACCAGCAAGGACCTGGATTCAAGGAAAATGGATGGAAGAAGTCCGAGATTGTATCAAAGATTATGTAAACAAAGTGCTCAGAGAAGGATACGACATCATGGACTGTGCTTGTGAAACAGAATATTTGTACATGAGGAGAACTTTTCCTATTCAAAAAGAACTATGCAAAAGTATTCCATGTTTGTTAATTTAATGTTGTTGTTGTTGTTGTGAATTAAAAACCTAAGAAAAAAAAAAAAATTCTGGTGTTGTTGGTTTTTCCGCTTCGACTAAAAATAGATATCCCAAGGTATATATATAAATCTTAGCTTTGAGTTCACTGTGCTCATTTTTTTTTCAATCATGCCTTCTGTGTGGAGAATGTCGTATTTTCTTCACCAAGAAAATAGTGCCTGTCCTCATTGCCATAGGCAGTTGAGAGAGATCAGCAGATTACCTGAGTATGACAGTGAAGACGACGACCTTATTGGTTGGTATTGGGGATGTAATGAATGTGGAGAACGTATACCTCACTGGGAAGTAGACGATCCCCCTAGTTTGTGGTATTGTCGCTGTGATTGGTGCCTGAAATATTACCTGTGGAAATATGGGGTTGATTTTATGATGCCACGTTGGGCTAAGCGCATGAGAAGAAATACCAAGATCGAGAGATGCCCCTCCTGCTGGGAAGAAAACACCCAAGGAAAATGGAAATGTCAACAGTGTATGAAATATCCCTGCTGTGAAAAGTGTTACAAGTCCATTATACGGCTTTCTTACAGAAGTTGTCCCTTGTGTCGATTTGAACAATAATAATAATAAAAAAAAACTATAAAACCAAACCAGGTCTTATTTTTCTCAGCTGAATACATGTGATGACGTCACAATAGGCAGCTTGATGACTTGAATCGGTGCCAAGTTTATGCCCTAGGTAAAAAACCTGAGGTTTTTTTTTTTTTTTTTTAATCTATTTTTAGACTTTGGAAAAACCAATAGACTTAAAAAAAATTTATTTTTAGACTTTGGAAAAAACCAATAGACTTAAAAAAATTTATTTTTTGACTTTGGAAAAACCAATAGACTTAAAAAAATTTATTTTTTGACTTTGGAAAAACCAATAGACTTAAATAGAGTAAGAACGTGTGAAGCACGTGTGGGTTTTTTCAAAGCGACTATAAATAGTCAGATCCAAAGGTATTTAAAGCTGAGCTTTTTTAAAAAAAATTTCACAAAGCGACTGTAAATAGTCAGATCCAGAGGTATTTTTAAAGCTGAGCTTTTTTTGTGAAAAAAAAAAAATTTCACCACCACCACCACCACCACATTTCATCATGATTTTTATGTGGAGACTGAAGTATTTCTTTGAGGTAGAAAAGTATTACTGTCATTACTGTGATAGGGAGATGATCCATGAGCGTACATTTACGGTGTATGATCATCCCGGATGGCATCACAGAACTTATCAATTTTGCGAGCATTGTGAAATGGCTTTTCCTCACTGGTTTGTGGATGATCCCCCTTCCATGGAGACCTGTGGATGTAGATGGTGCGTGAAATATTTCACATGGAAGTACGGGGCAGAGAATATGGTGCCCCTATGGGTCAAAGTGACCAGGAAGAGAGCCTTAAAGAAATGTCTGACCTGCTGGGAGGAAAATACGGAGGGGAGATGGAAGTGCCAACAATGCCGACAGTATCCATGCTGTGTGAAATGTGTCGAGAACTTCGTCAAGATTTGCTACAGACTTTGTCCATTATGTAGATATGAAGGAAATAAATCATAAAATCAAAAAAAAAAACTGTTGTTGGGTTTTTCCTGAGATGCTAAAAATAGATTGGATAAGGTTATATAAAGAGGTATGACCCCCCAAAAAATCATTCATTCTGAAAAAGTTCATTGTCCAAGTCAGACGTGTTTTTAAAAAAGATGCAGTATCGTTGGTATTGTGAGAGCCCCATCACTCGGTTTATTTACATGGAAGGAGGGTGGATGAAAACTAAAGTAGGAGCGATCCTGGATTTCTTTGAAAATCATCCAGGACATTCCCTGGAAGACGTGTGGCTGGAAAAAAGAGTCAAAATCCCGCATCCTAAAGGAACTAGAGTGAGGGTGAAATTCAACCAGCATTACGAGCAATATAAATGGGTCAGCTGCACTCATCCTATGAATCGTTCGACACCGATGACCCTGGTTCTGAACGAAAGTCTCTGGTACTCCGACATAGGAGAGTGTGTGAGACATTTTTTCAAGATGAAGAAAAAAGAACTGACCTTTTCAGATTATCACGACGTTAAACAGTACCTGTATTGTCGCATCCCCCTTGCCCAGATCAAAGACAATATGGAAAAGGAAGGACCTGGTGTTTTGGACAGAGTGATTGATTACAGATCAGAAGAAGAAGAAGAAGAAGTGTAAAAAAAAAAAAAAAAAAACTCAATAAAATTTTTTTTTAAAAAAACAAAAAAACAAAAAGTGTTGTTATAAATAGAAGGGTCCTAAGTTATTTTGTTTCAGTATCTCACTGAACATGGCCGAGAGCAGTAGTTTTTACATGACTTTACCCAGTGATGGGTCCATGCAATCTTTTCCGAGTAATACGACGGCTCAATTTAAAACCTTATTACCACAAACAGTAGATTTAACAGATGGACAATGGGAAGTGGCTTTAACAGAATTGATGTATCCCATTTCATTGAAAAACATCACAGAAGAGGAAGCTTATTTTGACATCCTGCTTCCTCAGTTTTATGTTCCAAAACTCCAAGAACCTAGTGCCTTTAAATGGGGCAGATTTAAAATGAAAACCATAGAGGCGATGCCATTAAGCCAATGTCCTGTACTGTTAGATTGGGACCATACTGAATTTGCTAATCTCATAACCGAAGACCAGAAGATGGAAATTAAACGAATTCACTTTAGCCCGGGGCCTTACATTCATCCCATGGCTTTAACAAATGAAATCAGTCTTGGACTGGAAAGAACTTTGAATAAATTATGGAAGTTTTTGGGTGATCCTAGAAAAGAGAATGTCATGAAATTAGCCTATCATGACAAATATGATAAAGTGATGTATCAGTTTATGGGGAGAGAACTTAGAAAATATCCCCTTTGCATTCGTTTTCCCACAGCCCTAGCTTATAAGTTAGGAATAGAAAGTAAGAAGGTGATGCTTCAGAACGAAACAGAAACCAAATGGATCAACGTGAGTTACATGGGCAACCATAACGTCGATTTATATGAAAATCTGAAATCCATGTACGTGTATTGTGACTTGATTGAACCCCAGACGGTAGGATCCAATGCCTTGAAATTATTAAGAGTGGTTCCTTGTACACTCAATCTGGAAGATATAAAACAAGCCAAATGGGAACCCGTTAGAGCGGAATATTTGAAACTGAGTAAAAAACATTTCGATAGCATTGAGATTCATATCATGACTCCTTTAGGGACTCCCATGCCTTTTTTAAATGGAAAATCGGTCGTGAAACTTCATTTCAGAAAAGTGTACTGAGATGAGTGTACATCTTTTTTGTTACATCCTATTGGGAGTGATGACTTGTCTGATATGCTGTCTGTATTGTATTCAACCTTAAGACAGGAAGGGGTATAAAAAGGAGTCCCCGGAGTGCATTTAGGTCAGTCTGACACGAGTCATGAAAACATGCAGTATCATCCAGGATTATTGAGACAAAGAGGACACGGACAGTTTGTCTATCATAGAGGTTTATTACGTCAAAAAGGACACGGTTTTGTAGGTGGAATTATCTCTGGATTGGCTGGAGCCCTTCCCCTTGATTTTACTGGATTACCAATACCAGACAGTTTGCTTCCACCCCATATAAGGGGAATTCGCCAGCATTTGAAATCTCAAAGAGGAGGAAATTTTATAGACTTTCTTTCGGGAATGGTACCGAACCTACCTATAGGGATGACTTTAAAAGAAGCTGTCCAATTAGGCTCAGGCCGGCGGCGACAAAGAGGTCGAGGATTTCTTAAAGATCTAGTCAAAATGGGTCGTAATCAAGCCTTGATTGCCGGAGCTAAAATAGGAGCGGATGTGATTAAAAAAAGGAAAAATATCAAAAATGCTCTTTTAACTCATGGACTCAATGCCGTTAAAAATACGGGCCTATTTGCTCTCAATAGAGGAGGAAGTCTAGCTTTTAAAAAGATGAATAAGAAAGGTCAAAAAGGCAAAGGGAGAAGAAAAAGAAGAAGACGGCAGAGAGGGAGAGGAGTTGTGAGAAATTTACTGAAAACGGGAGCCAAACATGCCTTGACTGCTGCCGCTAGAACGGGGTTAGATGTGTTAGAAAATAAGAGATCTTTAAAAGACGCTGTCAAAACTCAGGGAGTACAAGCCCTGAAACAAAGATTGAATCTAGGTAAGAAAAGAAGAAGAAAAAAAGCACCTGTGTTAGCCCGAGGAGGTCCTAAGAAGAGAAAAAGGGGTTTAGATATCTTTGATTGAGAGACACTATAAATAGGGGAGTCGAGTGAGATTGACCTTCATTTGTGAAAAATCCATCTTAATAGACAGACATCATGTTGCAACCAGATTCCTGTGCTTGTGGGATGAACAATTTACAATTGTTCCAAGTCCCCCCGACCAATATTGCTTTAGAAGACTCCAAATGGGAAGAATATTACCCCATTTCTAGTACTTTAAATTCGGATACGGCTCCCATTGAATTTGAAATTAAAGGACAAGGAGATCAATATCTGGATTTATCTCAAACGTATGTTCAAATGGTGTGTAAATTTACCAAAGACGATGGTACTGATCTGACTGGAGCTGGCACCACTTGCGCCCCGGTGAATAATATCTTTCATTCCTTGTTTACGGAAATCGATCTCAGTGTCAATGGAAAAATAGTGTCTCCGGGAACCGATACTTATCCTTACAAAGCTTATCTGGAGAAATTACTTTCTTACAAACCCAGAACTTTAATGACACAGATGAGAGCCTGTAGTCTGTGGGAAAAAGATACGGCAGGACACATGGACGAAGTGGGGGTAGCAGACCTTGGAGTGGCTCAAAATAAGACATTTGATGTAACCCCAGGTTCACAGGGTGGTCCCGATACTGTGACCATTGACGAACCCATCGTCCCAGAGTTACCGGCCAATTCTAGAAACGAAGGATTTAGAAAACGTCACCAGGCCAATCGGACAAATTCCACATCATAGAAACCGGAAATCTGAGAATAGAAGTCCAATTTACGAACAATACGGTGAACACCTTAAATTGTGTGGTGTATGCAGAATTCGATAACCTGTTAGAAATTAACAAACAGAGAGAAGTGAGTATTGATTACTAATGGATACGGGACAGTTGAGAGAAGTCTTATCCAGAGAATTAAAGAGTTCTTTTGGTGGAGTGTACCCTTTGGATATATTACCGGATCAATTAAGACTTGGAGAAAAAGCCATCGTGGTGAATACGGATCCTCAAGATCAACCTGGAGAACACTGGGTGTGTCTGTACGTGAGCAGTCCAGTGGTGGAATATTTTGACTCTTATGGATTTCCTCCCTTACAGAAAGAAATTCAAGACTTTATCCAGCGTCATGCTCACCAATGGATTTATAATCCGTATCGATATCAAGATTGGAAGACCGATGTGTGTGGACAATATTGTGTGTATTATTTACATCAAAGACACAAGTTGAGAAAGAAAGCAGACGAGTGGTTATTTCCCTTTGACCATAGTACAGCTTTACAAAGAGATCATTATGTAGCTCAATGGTTTAAAGACACTTATCATAAAAGACCTACGGGTCATGGACAAACTTGTCAATGTTTCTATCAAAATGTCATGTAATTAATTGTTGTTGTTATCAATAAAAAGAATTGGAAAAAAAAAAATCTGTGTTCTTGTTTTTTTTTTTTTTTTTTTTTTTTTTTTTTTTTAAAAGGGGGGGTTTTCCCCATGATACTAAATATAGAAAAAAAAAAGGTATATAAAAAAAAAAAGAAAAAAGAAAAGCCTCATTTGATCATGAGTCTCCAGGAGATACAGGGTGATTTATTAAACATTCCTGTAGAAGCTATCGTACATCAATGTAACTGTTTAACAGTCAGAGCTCATGGATTGAGTCAAAGTATAGCCGATAAATATCCTCAAGCGAATTTGTATGCCACCTGCAGACCTTTAGGGTCTAGAAATTTAGCCTTAGAAGAGGACAGGGATAAGCCAGGAACCATTAGGGTGTTTTCCTCACAAACACCTGTGGTCATTTGTTTATTAGCTCAATGGGATTATGGCAGAGCAAGTCACAGACCTAAAAGAATCTCCACTTATCAGGACACCCCACAAAATAGAGAGCAATGGTTTCAAGCCTGTTTACAAGAATTGGGAAATTTACCTTATAAAACTCTTGCTTTTCCTTACAAGATTGGATGTGGCTTAGCTGGAGGAAATTGGACTCATTATAGACATTATATTGAACAATTTGTACACACTTATGACAAACATGTGTACATTCTTCATAAACATTAACTGTGTATGTGTGTTTTTATTATGTGATATAAAATAAATCTTTTTTTTTGAAAAAGTACCTTTTTATAGGAATGAAGTGCCATGCTTCAGCCTCCACAGCAGTCTGATGCACTCATAAGCAGATCCTTGTGGGTGGGTGGGTGGGTGGTGCCCAGTAGAAAACACTAGGAATTTGTTATAATTCCATGAGATCATCCAGTTTTGACTCACAGTACAGTTTTTTTTTTCTTTTTCCCCCTGTAATATATTGTCAATATTAAAAAAAAAAAAATTCAGAAAAATCATCAGCACTTGGAGATATAAAAAAACCCTTGCTATCTTTTACCCAACTATGGTATTATAATTTACATTATCAATTATCTTTGACTTATCCATTTTTTTTTTTATAAAATATATATATATATATATATAAACATGTATAGTTAAAAAAAAACAGAATTAAAAATTTGTATCTCATTGAAAAACTTCAAAAGTTTTGTTTGTTTCTATATGTTGGATGATTAACTGTGTGTTTTTTTCCAAAAAAAAGGAAGAGTACAGCCTAGGCTTCACTTCATAGAGACTGGATTATAGATGGTTAGGAACCTAAAAAAAAAAAAAAAAAAAAAAAAACATATCTTCCAATGTTGAGGACTGTAGAAATAAAATCCATTTTTTGTTATGATGACAAAAATACTACATGAAACAATGCATGTTTTTAAATGTAATGGAATAAAAAAAAAGAGTAATATATATATATCAAGACCTAACTTATACTGGAATCAATGAAATTTCATTCATAAAAATATATATATATTTAAAAAATACAGACTTTATTTACTATGGACCATAAATGATGACATGAATAGCAGGCCATACTTTAAAGCACATGACAAACCATTATCTCAAAATCATGCAGAACTGGGTTCATTAGCATAGCTGACATTAAAACATATAGGTGAGGGATAACATAATCACAACAATAAACAATGTGTTAAAAAACTTTAAACGACTTACAGCGTGGATTACACGCCTTGAACAGGAAAGGGGTAAAAAAAAAAACCTTGCCTGGAGAGTATCATGGCGGCATAAACACAGAAAATTAAGTCGTACTTAAACACATTCCCTAATGATTTGAGAAAAATCGCTGTCTTTCATGTGTGTATTTTTTTTTATTGGACATGGGGGGAGAAAGTCTATAGATTTTTTTTTGTTGTTATAATAAATAAATAATATGAGTTGACAAGAAAAAAAAAAAATAAGTGATTATGAGTTTAACCAAAAAAAAAAAACAAAAAAAAAAAAAACAAAAAAAAAAACAAACAAACAAACAGTGACCTCTGGTGTTTATTATACGTTTCTTTTATAACCGTGTATCAAAAAAGTATCTTTTCGTAAAATTTGGGTTGGCCCTTAAAAGGGCCGTTGATTTTTTTTCTTCAGGGTTTACTCCCTGGGACTTGGTCCTTAAAAGGACCGTTGTTGTTTTTTTTTCCTCTTCAGGGTTTACTCCCTGGGACGTCGCCCTCGTCCACGACCAGTGGCAATTCCGTTGTCTGGTGTTCTTCTTACTCCTTCGATAGTCACGCCACGGCCTCGGCCCACCCTGGGTGTTGAAGGACGTTGAGGAGGAGGGGTGGTGCGAACAAGGGGCTCCGGGCTCCCGTAACGACAGAGGGGGCAGCCCTCTCCCCGGTCTATCAGGCGGGCCGCACAGAGGAAGCAGGCTGGCCTCTGGCGGCATCGACCGCACAGGAAGTTGGATAACTCCTGGTCGCACAAACACAGACAGCAATACCCTTCGGCCACAGAAGCCTGGATCCCCCACAACGGAATACAACCTTGGAATACCGCTCGGTCCTGGGGAGGTGAAGAAACCCCGTCGAGGAGGCGGTCGACTGCTGCTCCGGCCGGAGATGAAGGGGGGGGACTCCGGACTGTCCGGCAGGCCGAAGTTCCTGCCCTCCTCCTCCGGCCGCGGATGGTATAGGGGGCGTGGTGGCTCCTCTCTGCTCCTTGCTGGCGAAGGCCTGTCATACGGGGTGGGTCTGGCGGCTCTCCGGGCGATGTTGCTTGCCACGAAGGTCCTAAGATCTCCGACTCTGATCCTGCCCATGTTGAAGACAGCGAATTCCTCCCCGGTGTCTTGGTTCCGGACCACCATCTGCAGGATCACCTCGACTCCTGGCTGAATCGCTACATTCTCGGTAAAGAGAGACATGTCCTTGTAGTGTCGCTGGAACAGCTGGCTAACGAATGACAGTTAACAGCTGATCAGCGTCGGTATTTATACACACAGCGCGAGCCGAAAAGAGAGCACCCTAAAAGCCCGGATGACGAAGAGCTCAGAAAATCATGGAAACATCAAAATTGTGTTATTTGTGTTTTGTGAATACATACATTGGATTAAATAACATATTATGGAATTATATATACATTCAAACCTTCTAGTAAAAGAATGAAGGTAAGTTTCGAGAATGATTTCACAGTATTTTTCATACATGACATTGTTCCCTTGTTTAGAACAGGCTCATTCATGCCGAAGCGAAGGGCTAACCTTGACTGACCTGAATACATAAAATAAGTCGTTTTAGACTTTTTAGAGTGTAACACAAAGAAAACTTATTGCACGCAATAAGATTGAACTTAGGGAAGAGTGTCGGTATAGTTTTCAGATTAAAAGAATCGTTAGGAGTGTAAAAATAAACTTTTCGGGATAAACACAAGGGAGGTCAAAGGTCAGCCATTTTCAGAAAATCAATGTATAAGACTTTGTATAGGGAATATAAGAATCTTTTCGATCCTGACCTTTTCAGATAAAAATTTTGAGATGAATAGAATCAGATTGGTTTAAAAACAAATTGTATACACTTTATTTGCAGTGGGAAAGTTTAGATTTTTATAAATAAGAACAAAACATCCCAGCGTCTAAATGTATAGACTTGTATAGGGAATATAAGAATCTTTTCGATCCCGACCTTTTCAGATGAAAATTTTGAGATGAATAGAATCAGATTGATCTAAAAACAAATTGTACACATTTTATTTGCAGTGGGAAAGTTTAGATTTTTAAATAAACCAGGATTTTATAGACTCAGCGTCTAACGGATACATGATGACGTCATTACTAAACAACAACAATAACAAACAAAAAACTTAGTGTCTTTTCATTCTTTTATTTCTTTTTGGTTTAACAATTGTTCCAAATGTTGAATTCTGCGTTGAAATCTCATTCGATCGGCTACTAGAGTCATCCATTCACTTTTCCGATCTTCGGGTGGTAAATAATGAATTTCATTCAAGTCTGTATTAAAAGTCACACATTTCTTAGTCTCTCTGAAATTTCCAGATATTTCATCCCGTATTGAATGCATATTTTCTCCATCGATTCTATTTCCTGGTAGAGTAAAATCACTTTCCTTGCTTGGGGATGGCATAAAAAAGTGTAAGGCTTTCCGAGATAGTGGGTCAGGCTTAACCCATACCATTTCTGGGGCAGAGTTTTTTTCATGCGTTGACATAGAAAATGCAGTGTAGCTAGTCTCCCCAGGTTGGGAGGATGTAACAGGGCCAGGCATTGTAACCATAAGTCCTGAATGGTTTCTATGATGGTAGTGGCTCTCTGAAACACTTGTTCTGCCTCGGGAGGAAGAGGTTGTTCGTGTTGTTCTGTCCATTGCATTAACAAATCATAGCCTTCTAAAATAAA